TATAATTCATTCCTTCTTTTTTTTTTTTTTTTTTTTTTTTTTTTTTTTAATTTGGCTTTTTTTTTTTTTTTTTTTTTTAATATAATAAATAATCAATTTATTTAATTTAATTGATTGTTTGAAATATTTTTGGACAAATTATGCTCTTTTTTATTGTACTTTCTTTTCTTTTGATTTAGAATTGTCTAAGGATCTCAATTTTCTTTACTTGTTTTTGCTTTAGCATGCAACTTTCATCTAGTGCTACTAGAATTTTCAGAGTTATGCTGTTTGGTAGATTCAACCTGAATATGAATCATAGCACCACTTTTAATACATGTTGGATCTGCATTACTATTGTAAAGAAAAGAGGATAGCTATGCAAATAAAATTTCTTTTGATACATGATATTATCTAGTTAATTTGTTTAATGTAGCACCAAACTGTGAACTACTATTTTAATAATCATTTTTAATTTCTTCCAGAAAAGCATTAAGTGTAGTATTGTCAATTTTATCATTTACTTGGTTCAATTCACTTTAAAGAATAATATAGTTAACATTATACTGTATTTACTTTAATATTTATAATTTAAAGTAAATACTAATCTCTGTTCATGATTTGAAGATTCTGATAAATGCATATTAGATGATTCTGCTTGTAGATGTTCTTGTATAGTAGCAATAAATTCTGTACATAATGAGGTGTAAAAAGAATCGTTCTTTTTAACTTGACCTAATAAATTAATATAAAATTTCTTAGTTATTATATTTATTGTAATATTGTGTTATTTTAAATTAAATTTATCTTACTAAGTGCAATGTATGTAAAGACTATACAGTCATCAGGAGTTAGTGATAGAAAAAAGTTTAATATTTGAATGTAAAACTTCATTGCAACAGTACTCTGATACAGTGTTGTACGCGGACTTTGTTCTATCAAAATTGTGCGAATACGAACAGTCCCAAACAGTATCCTATGTCCTGGACAATGTCCCATATCCGTGATAGTTGTCCCATGTATATAGTTTATCAAACAATCTGATTAGTCAATGCAGCCATTCTTATTATAATTTTAATTGTTCGGGATAAAAAATATAACAGGGACAGCGTGCAGTACAGATTTTCCGGGGCACGTGATGTAGATCACTGCATATTACGTAATTGTCACCTGCAGATCACGATTTTGTCACTCATACATATATATATATATATACTGAACAACTTTCATCGTTATCGTTACAAACTTCTGCTTCATTTAGATTTAAATACATATGCATATATATATTGTGAAAAGTTGTGGAATAAACTTTTTATAAAAATAAAAATTAGGTTATGTTGCATTAAGTTTTCAAATTACCAAAATCTGTTTAAAAGTACATTTTAATTATTAATAAATTTATTAAATTAAGAGCGAATTTAAATGCAATTACTTTTAGCATTATTGAACTTATCAAACATGAACAACATATAGTGTTTAATGTAGATAAGTATTGCAACGGTTTTCCTAATATCAAGTGAAAACTTGGAATTCTTATTAAATTACATTTCCAGGTTTTTACTTGGCGTCGCTCAATTATTTTTCTATACCTTTAAATTTCAGGCTTCTATTTTTTATACTACAATTTTTTGTTTGTAATATGTTTGAATCCTATTAAACCAGAATTACATTATTTTCTCAAGTTTAGGGCCTTTACCGGTTATGATTGATGAATACTTGGTGACGAAAATTTGCAACTTTTCTTTTTAAAACACTCAACTTATTTGGATGACTTTCTTATCAAAGTAACTATGGATGTATACATATATATACTTATAAAAATATATAATGTAAATTTTAACTAATCTAAATTTTATAAATTTAGTATCACCCGATTCTTAAAATGTAGTAATTACAGAAGTTACAAGTTGACACTGAACAGAAAAATGGTAAATTTATTTTATATAATTAATGTTTTAAACTTAATTATTACAAATAACTAATTATTACAAAAACATGGTCCATGGCTTCGCATTCCATATATTACTACATCTTGAATTGCATTGTGATGATTTTATGTCATTTATCATAGTAAACACTCGGTCCATATTATTAATGGCATTTCTTACATGTCTTAAATTATTAATAGATAATTTTTCTCTAAGGTATTTTGCTAGATATTCTAACTCGACTACCTTAGCTTCACATTGTTGATAGAGATCCGGATCAACTCTTTTATCATCATTG